AATGACGAGGTTTTAAAATTTAGCAAAAGCACATGATATGCCAGCTATACTGAGACTCTCCTCAAGGTCTCCTTGTTCAGTTAATAAAGCAAATGATTTCCACCATCAAAAAGGCTAAATAAAATACAGGTTCAATGCACACTCTGGGAAACAATGATGTCCCAGTTTCTTGAGCATTTGGAGAACATATCCACTAACACAAGTCTCAAGCTCATGCTACAGCTTCCTGGGGGCCAAAGTCAACATTTCAAAGGGGAGAATGTATCTAGAACAAATGTGCAAATTTCCTAGCAGTTTCTGAACTTTCGCATAAGGAAGGGGTGTTGGTGTCAGAAAAATGTCAAAAGTGAAACTAGCTGCAATGCAAAGATGTTTGTTTAAAACAGACAGATCACTTCTGATTGTCCTCATTTGGAAAAAGAAACTACCTTTCATTCAGCAATAATTCACTTCTGATTCTATCAGAAAGAGCCTCAAGGAAGGCAATATTTCAACAGAAATCAGTTCTGAAGGTTCTTTTATGAATACATATAATGCAGAAGACCCCAATTAAATTCCCAACAAAGCCCTGCCATTTTGAGTAAACAAAGTTATCTCAGCAGGGTCAGAGAGTCTCTAAGATAGCAGCCTAGAAATTAATTACTAGCTTGACATACGTCACAACAAATTTTAAAGAGAATAGCATCCAGTTGTAACCATGTGTTTTATCTATTTGTTTGTATGCAAAATCAGTATTTGGTGGCATGTAAATATATTCATTTATTCAGAACCTCTCAAAGAAATAAAAAAGACTTGTTGCCCTCTTTTCCCTGCATCAAGATGAAATCTGAGTAAATAACACATGTTTAGTGAGCCAGAAAATAAGTACAGAATGAAGCTATGGGGGGAGTTACATTTCTGAAAGGCAGGTGTCATTTTCCTCCCAAATACCTAATTTTGAGGCATTTGATTTCCTTAAAAACAGTTCTGTAAAAGCCTTTGCCAGCACCAATTAATTAAATATTGTTTCTAATGCAATTCTTGCAAAAACTCTATATAAACAACATGCAAAATATTTTTATATAGTTTGAAGACAATGCTTTGTTATCAAACAAAACAAAAGCCCTCCCTGAGTCTAAGTGTTCTGCTTTTATACAACTTAATTTTCTTCTATAAATGCAGAAAAGTAGCTTTCATTTAGATCGCTGAAAAATAGAACTGATAAATGAAAATGTTTCTGTCTCAAGGGAATCCTAAATATAAAATAACCTGGGTTACAAAGCAGAGCTTTATAAAATAAAGGCTTACATTCTTATTTGTGGGGTCCTTAAAATAGTAGCCACTGGCAAATTATACTCCAACCTGATGTCTTCAAGAAGTAATGTACAATAAATAGCATTATATGCCTTCATGGAAGCTAAACAGGAAAGAAATTGAACAGATAATCTCAAAATTATTGGAATTAAAACATTAAATAGCTGGATTTAACAAGTATAACAACCTCATATTCAAATAATTTCATATTCCTTCCCTGCTACCTACAAGCATGCCGATGTCTCCTCCATCAATCACTTGACCCTCCAACCTCCCTTTCTCAGCCAAATTATCCTCTGTCTTCATTGCCTCATGCCCCATTCACTTCTGGCCTTTTTCCTCATCTGACTGGGAAATTCAAAAGCCTGTTCTCAGTTTCCCTTCTGGCCTACCTCCTCCCCCTAGGCACTTCTGAGCACTGCTTCTCCAGGTTTTCTTACTACTTGTCTCACCATTTCTTCTCAGTCTCCTTCACTGGGGTCAACCATTCGCTGACCCCTATGCTTGGCTATCCCTCAGCGCTCTGTCTTGGACCTTTCAATCTTCTCTTTCTTGGTGATTTCATCAGCTGCTATGGGTTCAATTATCAATCTCCATGCAGATGACTCCCTGACCTAGGTATCCAACCCTCATGTGTCTCCTGAGTGGCAATCTCATATCACCAAGCAGTGACTGGACATCTCTACCTGGAGATGCCAGAGGAATCTCAAATTCAACATACCTAAAAAAGGTCTCACTTATTCTCCCTAAAACTCACCCTTTTCCTGATTTTCCTGTTTCTGCAGAGGGTGCCACTATTATTCAGGTTTTCCAATTACACTTGCAAAGAGTACGTAAGATACTTTGAAATACAAGCATTTCCAAATGTAAATGACCCGGAGGGCATCAATAGTTCTGCACTTTGGCGTACTCTCTACCCATTAGCTAATAGCAATTCCTTCACCCTCCCAGAGATTCACGAAGTCAGAGGTCTTATCGGTCTTGGCTCCATCCATCCCTCCTCTTCTCAGCTGGTCAGTCATGCGGCCCCACATTGGCCCACCTTATTGCTTCCCTCCCTGCTTCCAGGCTCTCCCCTCCACACTGCTGCCAAAATGACATTCCAAGAGCATGGGTCTGACCACATCACATACCTGCTCCCCAAGTCTCAGCGGCTTCCTGACTCACCTCACACTAGCATACCCTCATGCAGTCTGTTCAATCATCCGGGCCTTCCTGCCGATCCTTACACAAGATCTTCCATCTTTCAAAAGCCTCTGAGCTTTCGCAAAAGCTGCTTCTTCAGCCTGGAAGACTCTCCCTCTTGTCCTGTTCCTCCCAGAATCCTTGGCCCTCCTGCAAAGCGTGGACCAGGCAACAGCTCCTCCGGGAAGCCTCTTCTGAGCTGCCCAGATATTAGTGTTCATTTCCTCCTACCCCCCCAAATTATTTTGTATTTCTTCTACTACAAGTTCTATTTACTTATCTGTGAACACGTTGTTTCTGCCAGCAGAACATAAGCCCCTTGAAGGTAGGGATTGCTTAGCATCAAACACAGTTCTTGGCACCTAGAAGGCATCTGCCTATTACCATGACTTGAAACTGAATTTTTAATGTTTAAAATGGGCTCATTAGTGACATAAAAATTGTTTCTTTGAGAATCTACTTATAAGTTGTGAAGCTTTACATTTCTTTCATTAAAAGAGAAAAGTTTTTATATATTGCTACACAGAAACATATTGCTTGCTCTTTGTGAATTCCTTTAAATTGTTAATTATGTATAAATGTTGTCTTTGATGGTAATTGTGGTTCATTAAATTTAGAGCTGGAAAGGCCCTTTCAGATTACTCTGTCTGGCCCAGAGAAATCAAGCGATTTGTCCCAGAATTAAGTAACTAGTAAGTCACAAAGCTGAGATCCAAATTTAGTACTCTTCTGATCTGAAGCCCAGTGCTATCTCCACTATACTTTGCTATTTTTATTACTTGACATCTTGCCCCTAATTAAATATCAGATGATCTCTCATCTCTAACCTAGATTTCTTTTAGAAGAAGCCCTGGAAGGGGGCAGGGGGTGTCAAGTCAAAAGCCCTCCATTCAAGTCCCAATTTTGCCATTTACTACGTGACCTTGGACAGGTTAATTTTCTCTAAGACTGTTTTCTTCTAATACCTTCCCAATGCGGTTGTTGTGAGCACCAAATCAGAAAGAATAACTGAAAACTCTGTAAATCTTATGGCAGTATACAAGTTAAGGGATTGTTAGAAGATCACCCATTCTGGAAATCAAAGCTACCTGTAGTCATATGAAAAAATGTTCTAAATCATTATTAATGCAAATTAAAACATCTCTGAACTACTACCTCACATGTATCAGAAATGACAAACACTGGAGGCGATAAGGGAAAATAGCTATGTTAATGAACTGCTGGCACAGTAGTGAATTGGTCAAACCATTCTGGGGAACAATCTGGAATTAGGCCCAAAGGACTATAAAACTGTGCATATCCTTTGACGCAACAATACCACTACTAGGTCTATATACCAAAGAGATCAAAGAAAAGGGAAAAGGACCTATATGTGCAAAAACATTTATAGCAAGTAGCTCTTTTTGTGGTGGCAAAGAACTGGAAATTGAGGGGATGCTCAAATGGGGAATGGCTGAACAAGTTGTGGCATATGATTGTGATGGAATACTATTACGCTATAAGAAATGATAAGGGGGGTGGTTTCAGAAAAAAACATAGTAACACCTATAAGAACTGGCACAAAGTAAAGTGAGAATAACCAGGAGATCATTGTGCACAGTAACAGCAATGTTGCAATGATGATCAATTGTGAAATACTTGGCTACTCTGATGAATACAATGATCCAAGACAATTCCAAAGGACTCATGATGAAAAAATGCTATCTGCCTCCAAGAGAGAACTGAAGAACTCTGAGTGCAAACTGAAGTATAATTTTCTCACTTTGTTCTTCTTGCTTTTAAAAAAGACACGGCTAATATGGAAATACGTTTTGCACGATTTAACATGTATAACTGACCTATCGCTTGCCTTCTCAATGGGTGGGGGAAGGGGTGGGAGGGAGGGAGACAGAGAATTTGAAACTCATTTAAAAAGAAAAGAACGCAAAAATAAATAATAAATGGAAATGTTAAAAAAAAAAGTCACCCATTCTGAATGAAGTAGTTACATGAAGACAGTCTTTCTCTTAATATTTGATTCCACCGCTTTCCAACCAGAACTTGCTCATAGGATGAAAGGACACAGTGCAACCTATCAGAAAGGGTTAGGAACCAAAAGACCCAATATCGAGGTCCAGATTTGTCTACCACTAATTAATTAACTGTCCAACTACAGGAAAATCACCACCTCCTTGAGCCTCAAGCTTATCTATCAAATGAAGAATAATCATCACATCTATCTTGCCCAACTTACAGGGCTGTTCTGAAGACCAAATGAGAAAATAGATGGAAAAATGTTCTATAAAGTAGAAAGAGACTTCCAAGTAAAAGTCATCATCATCATCATCATCATAGGAGAAAGCCAAATTGTCCGAGGAACAAGACCAAAGGTTGACAGAAAGATTAGTTATCAAATATCAAAAATAATTATTTCTGTTATGACTTGTAGCTTTACTGAACAAAGCGTCATCAGATTTTTGTCCTTAAAATAACTGTGGCCTTTCATTGTACTTTAAAACAGAAAGAAAAAAAAAGTGGTTTACCTCTCTTAAAACAGTGCTTTTATAACCGCGATATAATCCTTGGATACCCTGTAACAAAGACATTGAGAGGTTTTCACTGAAAGAAAATTCTGATAGCAAAGGCAATTTTCAAATGACATTCCATGTATTGTGATTTTATCCATACTAAGCACTGAGCTCTAAAACCTACAAAAATGAAGCACCCTATCCTCCACCCAGAAGTTAGATTAACTCCCACTTAAATGGGAGCTTTTCTGGTAATATTACTGGAGCACACAAATTCCTCTCACTGTTGTTTCTGCTTTCTTACATTTCCTCTTCTCTGTGGGTAATTACTAGAAGGAGCACTTGAGATACTTTAAAAGAGAACCATTTCCAAATGTAAATACTCACAGAGTAGCAATTTTTCATTCAAATAAAAATGAAATTATACCCCATGGTTTGAACCAGAAGATGGCACACAGATGCATGACTTAATAATCTTCCCTTAATGTAATGATTAACTACAGCCTTTCCCCAAAGGAGTCCTGGTTTTCCTGGTCTGCCATCTATGGGAGTTAGCACAAGCTCTCCAATGGACACCTTTTATTTCTGTAATTAAAAATTCTATGGCCTCTTCCTTAGGTAAGAAGAGGATGGTAATAATTACTTCTTTTCTAAACAATTCCCTTAGCAGTTCAATTGAAAAATATCATTTCTTGGACTCCTAGAAACTTCTGCTTCAATTGTCTTCTAAGAGTTGTTTGTAGAGACTTTCAGAAAAACTGCACAGAGGACCATCCCAGCGTGATGATACTATTATTACTTGCCATACATGCAAAAGCACTAGCAAGTTCAGGTGCTCTCAGGCATAATTTCAGCTACTAAATATCCCCTAGCCTCATTATCAGTAAGAGCAATTTGTAATAAGGAAGCACTCCTCTCTCACTAGACGGGTGGGGTAGTACAGGAATGGAACCCTGCATACACTATCAGACAGGGCCATGCCAGTTGATTCTGCTTAACAATTTTCTTTATTAAAAGAAGGAAATTCAGAGGTGGGGGTGGCCACACATGGGGAACTGATTGCGGGATAAAAGCAAAAGACACTGATAATTTTTAAATAAGTTTAAGGCTGAGAGGTATGATGCTTAAACAACTTCCTAGTGTGGGTACTGGTACCGGTTCTACTGTGGTCTCACCCTTTCCCAGGTAGTCAAATACAGCCCCTAACTAGGAGGCTTAATATTTCATGAAGGTGGAACCTACTAAATGTATGGAGGAAAGATCTGCTGGGAACTCATGTGTCACTAAGATTCACCAACCTGCCAGGTAACTATTTACACTGCATTTAGAGAAGATCATAGTCCTTCAAAAGCTGATCTTACCTCTTGATACAGGATGTTGGAAAAAATATGAAATGTCCCAGAAGCAGCAGACACCTGTGCCCTCTGTTTCACAACTTCTGAAGGAACACGGATCAAACAGGCCACCTAAAAAAGATGTATGTACCTATGTAACATTTTATCTTAAGAAATTTGTATTAACCACAAAAAATGAGGTCATCCCATGGCAAAAAAGATAACATTTCAATAAATTCATTTGCTCAACAAGCATTTACTGAATACTTCACATGCCACAATGAAAGGAGAGTTTTTCTCTGAGTCAGGAAGGACCAGGTTCCAGTCTCATGTCTGACATATACTGACGGTGACCCTGGGAAAGGAATTTCACCTCTCACTCCTTTAGACCAGTGGGGTTAAACTCAAATATTGACTTACGGCATTGATTTAGAAAACCACAAATGAACACCATCTATGTTGTACTGTATTTTTATTGATTTTGTTAAGCATTTCCCAACTGCATTTTAATCAGCTGTACCCGGGGGTCTGGCAGCCACAAAGTGCCAGTTTGACATTTCTGCTCTAGGCAACTCTCTAAGACTGGAAGTTCTGGAGTAAGAGCTGGTATGTATCGGGTGAAGGAATTTCCTTACCCAGTAATCCCCCATACCAGTGGAATCACAGTTCCATTCCCTATGCCCATGAATAAAAACAAAAGCTAAATTTATAATACTGGACTCTGACGATCACAAAGGTATCTTTTTTTTAGGAGTTAGAACACAGCAATCTATATTAGAGAACATGGACACAAGCTCTATAAAATAAAAGTTTCATGTTGGAAACAAAAAATGTTGCATTCTCAAATGTTAGCAATTATTCACATATCGTCAAAGGACTGAGAAACTTGACAAAAACAAACTTCTGAAGATAGCAAAAGCGTACAGACTAGAGACTGCTTAAAAATGAATACCTTTCAGATATTTTATTCTTTTAATATTATGACCCAATGACACAGAGAGAAGGGGGGGAAGAGAGAGAGAAAGGGAAGGAGGAAGGGAGAAAGAGGGGAGAAAGGTAGGAGGAAGGGAAATGAGAGAAGGGAGAAAGAAAGAAGAAGGGAGACAGAAAAAGAGAGAAAGCTCTATTAATGAGGATTTACAAAAAGAAATAACATCCTATGTCTCACTTTTTGGTTCAGAAAATATAGCCACCAAAAGCCTAGGTGTTCTAAGAGTTTGGGACCAAAAACTCAGCTTGAGTCTGGAGGAAATCCCCTACAGTCTTTTCTGGGCTGCCCAAGTAAAAGATACAAATCTTCACCAAATAACTAAGGAGGTTATCCTCTTCCACCAGGGCCCTTAAAGAGAGGCAACTGCACATCTACGAGCTGAGGAAGGAATAAAGGCAGATAAAGGCCCACGGAAATGAGGATCCCCCAGGTGAGCATCAGCCTAATGGGGCAAGGGCATTTCAGAGCTAAAAGGGACCTGAGAGGCGTCTCTGGTCTACCCTGCACCTCAACAGAAAGTCCCCACACAACATGTCAGATAAATGCTCATTTGGACACTGCGTCAACACCTCCAGTGACATAAAAGGGCGCCCCCCCCCAAGGGGGTCCCTTCAATTTTAGAGAGTTGAAATCATTAGGAAGTCTGTCTTGACATTCAGCCTGAAATCTATCCTCCTTTCAATTCTATCAATCGCTCCTAATTCTGCTCTCTGTGACTGAGTGGGTACTAGTCAATGAATCACAATATTTTTTGTCCATCAGATTAAAAAAAAAAATCCGAACAAAACACCTTTGTATGACTTAAAATACTGTCTCTTACCTAATTTGTTTTTGTACAGTTTTACATTATAGGTAAACAGAAGCACTTCTGATAAATTCAAAAATATCTGGACCCTCATACCCCAGCAACACCACACACTTCTCCATGCCTGCAATGATCTTCAGGAGACTCCTGCCTGCTCTCCCAGTTGCTTCTCCCCAAAGATGGCCTTCCATTTATTTCCATTTATCTTGTGCGTATATTATGTACATTTATATACATGTTATCTCCTCCATTAAAAGCTCCTTGAGGACAGGATTAATTTTTGCTTTTTCTTTGAATGTATAACACTTATTATAGTACCTGATCCATAGTAAGCACTTAACACAGGTTTAATGAGTTATTACTAAATTGGAATGGTACAGGAATGGTTTAGCATAGCACTGCCACAAAAAAATTAAATTAAATTTTAAAAAGTAAACTCAAAAGTAATCCATATTTTGTCTTCTCTCCTAAGCCTTAATTCCAACCCCACTTAACAGGTTTAGACATACTATTTAGCACTTGATTGCTCATGGCCTCAGGAGGCTCTCTGATTATTTTATATATCTTGTTGTTCACTCTTCTTGATGTCATCTGGGGTTTTCTTGGCAAGGATATTGGAGTGGTTTGCCATTTCCTTTTCCACTTCATTTTACAGATGAAGAAACTGAGGCAAAAAGGGTTAAGTGACTTGCCCAGGGTCACACCAGTAGGAAGTGTCTGAGGCTGCATTTGAACTTAGGTCTTCCTGACTCTGGACCCAACCTTCTACCCACTAGCTGCATTCATATATGTAACAAATCTTAGTGATCAACCGGCAAAGTCTGCAATAAAATGCCTCCTTTTATCTTGGAAAAGAAAAACAGAAAAGCCTAACTACCTACAAAATGCATTTTGTATACAAAATGAAAATAGCACCTACAAAAATGATTTAAGGAGTCATCCAAAATTCTTCAAATAGATATAATCAACCAGTGTTTAAAAAGTGGTAGCAGCCACTCAAGAACAGCACATCTTAATTAAGCTAGAACAACAAGAGGCCAGGACTTTGTGTGAAAGACCAGATTCCAAATAGTGATTTTCAGCTGCCACACTTAGAAAAGCCACATGTATAACAATGACAAAGCACAGCAAGTAGAAAGATAACAAAATGAGTTTAACTAGCATATTGCGATGTGGCCTAAAGTGAGTAAGAATAACCATGCAAGCCCACAGCCCTTACTTCTGATAACACTGTCTAAACTTTAAAGCCCCTATTAACAACTGCAATACGAAATCAAGTCTGCTGAAACTCCTATGACCCTAACAAGACAGCTCCTGATAACTAAAATCCATTCTCAAAAAGGTACAATACCATGTACTTTTCAATTCTAAGGGTCAAAAGTGACGAATGACCCCAATATGTCAAGAAAATAGGAATTGTCGACTTTAGTGGTTTGGCATAAATATTTATAGAACTTCATGCTTCATAACCTCCCATGTCCTTACATTAGGTTTTTATTCCTTAAAAATATAGAGGCAGAAGGAAAACTTTAAAAGGGTTCTCAGATGAAAAACAATATAACCAGGCAAAGGGGTACCAAGCACCCAGCATGGCTTCCTGACTCCTATGGTTCTGCAATTCTGGCCGAAGAGAAAAGCTACAAAGTAACGCCTCTATCTATTTTCTCCAGATACCTTCAGCGCCTTCCATTTTGTTTTCTATTAACTCTGATCTTTCTTAGATTTGAATTTGAGCTAGAAGGGAATATTTCACTGCACAAGAACAAAAACATGTTATAGCACTATAGTTCTATGAAAGGAAATAACGGTAATGTCATCTGCAGGTCTATCAGTAAATGCATTCTTCAGAACACTCTTAACTCAAAAGATCTGGGCTCCTTTGTGGGAAGCATCCAGATGGGTCTAATGAAAATGCCACTATCCTAAGACCTTTTTATATGTTAAATTCTACAAAAATAAAAGAAACTTAGAACTTTCTAAAGAGAAACACAAGCATTCTTACTTATTTATCATTGAGTCAATCTTTATTTCCTTTTCTGAGGATTACTCATATTGCCTATACTATGATAGAATTTTAGATTTGAAACACTGGTAAATAACAAAACTGATACAAAAACTTCATGTACTTTGGTATAGATACTTTCAAAAACTAGGAGAATTCGCCGATTTATCACACATGCCAAATTTTCCTTTGTATATTTAAGATATGGAAAATAATAAAATGGACAAACAGGCTGCTCATCAGAAAACAACTCTCAGGAGACTGTATGGACTAGGGCACAAGAGGGAGAAGACCCCAGAAAGCAAACTGCCTGATTTCTCAAATAATGTTAAATCACTTAGAGAACTGAAGTTGTCAGCTCCTCCACCATCAGGCCTAGAGGAGCACTGCCAACTGCCAACAAAATTTCCTACTACTATGAGATGGGCTGATCTCCAGGACACTTCAAATGATAAACAAATACTTTCTCTTTTTTCCAAACAATCTGGAATAATTCACAAAAAATCCCATACTTTTGATGACATTTCTCTAAAGAATCTTGGAATCACAACTGGATCTCACGGTTGAGAGGGAGGGCAAAAGGCACCCAGCCCAACTTGTACCTGAAAAAGAATGAATCCCTTCTACAAGGCACCAGACAAATGATCCAGCCTTTGCTCAAAGCCCTCTACAAGGTGCACCAGGGACAGGAAGAACTCAATGCCCATGGCTCATTGCACTTTTGTAAAGCATTAACTGATAGGAAGATTTTCCTTGGCCAAGCTTCAAGGCAAATTCCATCCATGGCTCCTAGTTCTGATCCCTCTTCCATCAGATACTTGAAATCCCAGATGACATTAAGACCATCCATAATCTCTGCCACCCCCACTACCCCTACAATCTTCTCTTCTCCAGGCTATAAACATCCTGAATTCCTTCAACCAATATTCATATGACATGATTTCAAGGTTCTTCACCATCCTGGTCAACCCCTTTTGGATGCACCCCAGCTTATCAACATTTTTCCTAAAATGTGACACCTAGAGATAACCCTAGCACTAGCCATGGGGTCTAACTAGAACACTGAGCGTCTATGGGCTCTCTAAGAGTCCTAACTAGGAGCTTAAAATATCATTGGCTTTTTGGGCTCCCATATCACACTGTTGACTCACATTAAGCTTTCAGTTTCCCCAAACCCCCAAATCTTTCACAGATGAACTGCTGCCTAGCCACAATTCCCTCCATTTTTAAATTTACTTGTGAAGTTTTTTTTTTAAACTCAACCCTATTCAAATTCATTGAATTAAATTTGGTACAACATTCTAGCCTGTCAAGACCTCTGGATCCTGATTTAG